AAAAAAGAAAACTCATTGGTGGCACTATGTCAGAAACCCAAAATGATTAACAATGAAAAATCCGCCAATAAATTATGGAACTTGAAGTGGGGATATGAGGAGAATAATGGAAATTCGGATAGCAGATATGCATAAAAAATTGAGATTAAAATAAAATATTGAGGAAGAGAACAACTAAACAGATGAATGTTCCACTAAAAGAAAAGCACAAACAAAGTCCCCATAACATATTACACTATGCACAAACAAAGGGGGTGATGTAAATTCATTCCTTAGTGCGCGCAGTGCGCAGTTTCTTAGCAGGACCAACCGACATTTTCTTCTTCCCAGTTACGTTGGCCGCCTGAACATCAGGAACATTTTCTTCTTCCCAGTTTCTCGGCATGCTTTAGCAGTCTGCGCAAACAATTGGGTTTCAACTTCAACCTGAAAAAAATGGTAATAAATGTGTACCCCAGGCAAGACAAATCCTTTATTTTTCTCCAGGATACTTTGTGGTGCAGAATAATAGTTATTATTATTATTATTAATAATATTATTGTTATCTTTTATTTATGTTATTGAGTTGGTTAAGAGAATCTTTTATCTTGATTAGAATAATATTTATTTTTTGTTTATCAAGTTAGGAACTCTATTTATTATCAGGTTTGATGGAATGATCGAGCAGTTTATCGATTGAAATAAAAAATCTGTTCTTGTGTGGTTTATCGAGAGAGAGTATCTCTTTTATCTTTCACACTCAACTCTTTCCCTACATCAGTTGGTATCAACAACCAGTACGATTCGCGATGCCGCCGGCACGAGAAGAGGCCGTAAACGCACAACGTGATGCAACCTTCAACGATCGGTTTCAACAGATTGATTACCAATTTCAAGAGTTGGACATGCTTTTCACGGATTGGCTTGCAGATCTTTCGACGGGAATCGAGGATGTGTGTTTTACGCCGAACAACGTAGTTATTACGGAATGGCAGACGGACCGTGATGGAGGCAGTGACTATTGCGGGGGATACAGAGGCGGTCGTGGGGGAAGCAACCATGTCGGGGCGCCCCGACAGCGATCCCAACCACCTATGAACGGCAACGGCGTTGGCGACTCTACCGGTCGGCTAACCCGTTTACAGATCGACCACCATGGCGTGGGGACGATAACAACCTAGGTCAGCCACGAGTTTGCGAGCAACGGCGGTCTGGAGATTGTTTCGGACATGGTAGAGAGCGCGACGACAAGAAAACCCTTGTGGCTATACGATTTCGTAGTCAATAGCAGCCTAAGGAGGGTTTGACTACACATTTCGGGTCAATCGCGCAGCCCTAGGTGGCGTTCGAACTGCTTCAGGCTTCAACCATCGTGAATTTCGCAGGCGGGGGCCCGATCAAGAGGACTCAGCCTTCTTCACTAGGTTCGAACTGCCGCGCCGCCACTGGGACGATGGGTGCGAGGCTGCCGGCGACGGCGGCGCATATCGACGGCGATTGGAAGCACTTGATTTTGACGAGTCACATTTTTCCGCTAACAATGGGAGAAAATTTTGACATGCTGCAGCGGGTTGGGGTCGCGATGGACGCCGCGTCGCTGAGGACGCCGACGACGACTACGATGGTTGCGCTGCCTGGCCGGAGGAGCAAACCCTATGCGATTTCGGCAACGAGAACAACAGAGGCTAGAGGGAGATCTTGCAGCGGCACGGGCATATGACGGCCTGCGCGCTGCTGAGGGGTGGCCTAATGTCCCAGGCAGGGACCGGCGTTGGACCGGCGCCGAAGTTGCAGAGGTGCAGCGGGATTTGAGAGTTGGAGGGTATCGTGTTTTGGGCGATGTGCAGAGACAACTCGATGTGCAACGACAATTCGATGGCCAGAGACGCAAATAAGAGCTCGATACTTTTGTTCCCAATTTTGGGCCTGCGCAAGGGCAGCCCATTTTCATTTATTGTGACCAAGGAAGGGATGGAATTTATTAAGATTTTTGGGCGTGAGGAGGAGACAAGTTGGGTTGTGATTTTGGGCCTCCATAGAAGCAGCCCACCCGCGCATTTTGGGCCTGTTCAGTAGCTGCGATAATTGGGCTTGTGCAAAGGGATTTTCGCCGTGAATTTGGTCAATGGGTGGTTCATTTCGCGTTGACATTCCTGACTTGGACGAAAATCATGTTGACGGGCCTATGAATGACATTTCGGCCATTTTTTATGAGGAGCCTCCAGTGACGAAGACATATTTTTCCAGTAATATAGGTCCTGCATGGGATGTTTCAACGATTAAGTCTTCGAATGGGAAGCCGTCATTCACACCCAATTTTTGACTATTCTGGCCAAAGACGGTTTTTCAGAGCCGAAGCCGATACTCAATAACCGGTGGGCCATTTTTCGATTGCCTATCGCGACGTCTCCCAACAAAAGGATGTTTGGCCGTTATGAATTTGAGCGAGACAAACGATGTGGTATATTTTGTGATAATTCAGTTGTGTGGGCTTTACGTATGGTGGCGTGTACATGTGCCTTCACAGTAGTAAATCCTTGACCGAGTTTATGTTTATGTTCAAGGTTGGTCGAAGACCTTCAACATTCGTGTTCATCGAGGAAAAGGTCGGGGGTAATCTTGTCATAATCTTGTCATAGGGACGACTCCAACGAGAACGGGTCGGATTCGATGTCGAATTCTGCTCAATCGGGGTGTACATGTGCCTGCAGAATAATAGTTATTATTATTATTATTATTATTATTATTATTATTATTATTATTATTATTATTATTATTATTATTATTATTATTATTATTATTATTATTATTATCTTATTGAGTTGGTTAGGAGAATCTTCTATCTTGATTAGAAGAATATTTATTTCTTGTTAATCAATTTAGGAACTCTATTTATTATCAGGTTTGATGGAATGATCGAGCAGTTTATCGATTGAAATAAAAAATCTGTTCTTGTGTGGTTTATCGAGAGAGAGTATCTCTTTTATCTTTCTCACTCGTACGCTTTCCCTACATCACTTTGCAAATAAATAATTGGTAAGCACCTCATGAGCATCTATGTTATCTAGTCGGATGCCTTTGTCATTCGCCTCTAAAGGTTGATTTAGTTCGGCAATGTTGGCACGAGAAGATGATGCGTGCAGGTCTGGGTTGGCTACATTGCAATTTTATACAACCGAGTACGTGGGCCAGCAACTTGAAAAACCTTCACAAACCACACAACATGTTTTCCGCATATGGCAGAGCGAATATTTGCCACTGAATCGTCCCCTGCATGAAATTTTGCCAAATTACAGAACTCTTCACAATTGAATGTGAACATATCAAAACTATTACTAACGATCCCTTAATTTTTCAAACCATGTATTATTGTCATTATAAAAAAATCCATTTGATACGACAAAACAATTTCTATATTAATAAATCAAGTACACATGATATGTTATTCGAATCAAACATCCTTAGGTTTTATTCCTCCATTATTAGAACGCGCTCCATGTATAGGGGAAAAAAAATAAAAGTTCACATAGGTAGAGGCATGACAAATACAACATGTTGCAAAAATGCAATTGGCTAAAAGCGCACACACCTTGTGAATTTTAAAGTTCCATAGAATACCAACTGTAAATTCCACAGCTCCAAATTTTAAAGATTGTGTATCGGGACTCGATTTTGTGTAGGAACCCCGCTAACATCCTTGGTTCGAACACGATAGAGGTGAAAACCACCACTAACAGCCATCGGTTTAACACGAAGAATTTGCTCGAAAGCCAGCCTTTTTGTTATTTTTATTTCATCATCCCAAATGAAGCGTACATAATTATTTTTAAAGACAAAAAACCAACATTCTACCCTATTCTATGCAAATTCAAAAGCAAAGCCAAAGAAACTACCATAATATATGCCATAACCTATCTAACTATTGTAAACTGCCATGCCACGTAACTGCTGCATGTGTCCAAGTACATGGAGGTGCCGAGGCATGAGGATGAGTGAACGGCCTTCTCTATTGGTCTTTTTTCCTTGTGCGACTTCGCTCGGTTTCTCGATTCTCATCATTCCCCATCCCTTCACGAATATCCTTGTCCTCAAGGATAAAGAATCGTATATTGTTCGCGTATCGACGGGATCACGCAATTCTCCTTCTGATTCAGAGTGACCATGCATTCTTTCTGCCCTCGCCATCCGAGTGACCTTCCTCACGGCCCTCGTTATGAGCCAACCCTTTTGCCGAATTTTTCTCCTCGGCCTATGTTTCGACAGATTCCGACCGCATAACCAGGTAAAGGCGTTTTACGTCCTCCACCCCATGAGCCTCCTCTCTGTTCACTTTCAGCCTGTAAAAGAAGAAGATTCCCCAGGACCTAATATGAATGATTCATTGAACAATAATAGAACAATATGTTATGTATGTGCGAGAGAAAGAAAGGGAGCACTTTGATATATGAAGAATGAAGATTACAACTTGTGTTTGTGAAACCCTAACTGATCCTTTTTATATTAGTGATAATTAACCTATTGGGCTGATTTAGAGACATATAAGAAAAGGCCCAATACACAATAATAAATGAGAAATTTACGCCCCATACTATCATATATATTTTATATTACATATCTACACCCAATTAATATTTATTTATAAATATACAAAATCACCCCAACATATTTACACATATACTTGATTTTATATGTTATTGATTATGATTTAAATATGGAAACGAATCAATTATTATTAATTGAGATAATTAATTCCTTTTCAATTGTCAACTACACAGAAGGATCAGAATGTGATTGTTATCTTCAACTTCTCACTTTCGTAAATTTCAAAGTAAAAAACCAACAATTTACAGTGCCTTTTCATCTAAAGCTTGAGAATTGTGTCCATGGAAGCCAAAAAATCTGAAAATCACCAAGTGCTCGTGAAATTGCTCGACGGGAAGCACCAGATTTTGAATTTCGCAGCCCCTTTTATCTCCTCTGAAAATCACTCAACCACACGTTCACCATCTCCTCCGAAAAGTGAGCGGAGATGACGATGGGAGAGTTCTTCGGGGAACCGAAGAGGCCGGAGCCCGATTGGAGAGTGACGGTGAGCGGAGGGGAGGTAGCGGCGGCGCCGGTGGCGGCGGAGGCGAGTTTGATAGAGGGAAAAGAGGGGAAGTTGGTGGAGAGAGAGAGGGAGATGTCGGAGGGGTGTGCGGTGGTGGTGGAGAAATGGGAAAGGAAAGGGAGGTTGAAGATTGTTGCAAGAATTTTCAGTGATATCTTCATTTTTTTTTTTATTTTTGGAATTTTTATTTTCTGGATATTTCTTTTTGGAGTGTTAGTGATACTTCTTTCTGGAGAAATAGGGCAAATTTTGTTTATTTGATTTTGTTTTTTTTTTCTTTTTCTTTTTCTTTTTTTTTCTGATTTTGGGGTTTCTGATTGAGTCATATGTTGAGTATATTCGAGTATATCCAAAATAACTTTTCTCTAGTTATCTGGTTATATGTTGGGTATATTCGAGGTAACTTTTCTCTCTATCCGAAGTATCTTTTCTCTTTCTATGTTATACACTTTGTCACTGGCTTTTTGCACCTATTACACATTTTTAGTATATTTGAAGTATATTTTTGGTGTATGTCAGGTAATAATTCCCACCCAAAATTTTGGTATATTAGAAGACATAATTTTTTCGGTATAAAATTTCACGTCCTCGTTTTTTTTGATATATTTTTGCGTATATTTCTAGTTAAAAAAAAAAGACATAATTTTTTACTGTACATATGTTTTGTGTATATGGAGTATATATTCAATATATGTTCAACGTATTAGAAGATTTGTTTCTATATGAAATATAAGTAATTGTTATAATATGTTTATATATAATTATTTTGTGGAAGACATGTTTTTTTATTTCACATATACTGAATATATACTAACATAAACTCAAAATATACCACCTGGCAGCTGCGTGAATTATAATATTGCAACATACACTGAATATATACTAACATAAACTCAAAATATACTATCTGGTGGCTGCTTGAATTACAATGTACAAGTTGCGTGAATTAAGGAATTAATAAATGAATCAATTATTATTTTCTTTTCTCTCTCTTAGTCAAGTCCACAAAAAGGGGGACGAAAGTTGAATATATATGGTAACTTATTTAGGTACTAATGTAGTTATATATGGCATTTTAGGTAGATGTGTAATTATTTGTTTATAGATTATATTTTTGTAATATTTTTAAAATCTTGGTGGATAGATTAAAATTTCCCATAATAAATTGCAACCTAAATACAATACTAATATTAAAGGCCCAATTACATAGTTGTTACATGTTTGTTATATACTGAAATCTTGGCTATGGATGATATTACACTTTTACCCTTTATGAATGAGAAACATGTTAGATTAAACAAGTTCTACATTCTGTTGTTTTGCATTAGATAGTGTGGGTCGTCATCGGGCGAACCGAACATCATGCTATCAGTTACTCGCGAAACAAGAATAAGTGGTTCACAACCCAGATGGACATGAACACCCCTATCATGAACGGTTGTAGTGTCAACTGTACAATTTGTCTTGACTGATTAGTTGCACTAGTATATTTATGTATTGAACAGGATCCCAGAAAGGAGCAGTTCGTTTTATACTGACCGTCGTAAACGAACTAGGACTCGGTTAATTATTGCGTACTCTTAACTCGTAAGATATTAATCAGACATATA